ATCAGGAGTAGTCAACATGGATTCACCAGGGGAAACATGCCTGACCAAGCTGATAGCCTTCTATGATGGCATGACTGGCTGGGTGGATGAAGGGAGAGCAGTGGATGTTGTCTACCTTGACTTCAGCAAGGGTTTTGACACCGTATCTCATAACATCCTCATAAACAAGCTTAGGAAATACGGTTGGATGAGTGGACAGTGAGGTGGGTTGAGAACTGGCTGAATGGAAGAGCCCAGAGGGTTGTGGTAAGGGGTGCGGAGTCAAGTTGGAGGCCTGTAGCTAGTGGTATGCCCCAACAGTCAGTGCTTGGTCTGGTCTTATTGAACATATTAATCAATGACCCAGACGAGGGAACAAAGTGTACCCTCAGCAAATTTGTTGACATTACAAAACTGGGAGGAGTGCTTGATACACCAGAAGGCTGCGCTGCCATTCATCAAGATCTGGACAGACTAGAGAATTGGGCAAAGAGGAACCAAATGAAATTCAGTAAGGGCAAGTGTAGGGTCCTGCACCTAGGGAAGAACAACCTTGGGCACCAGTACAGGTTAGGAGTTGCCCTGCTGGGAAGCAGCGCTGCAGAGAAGGACATGGGACTCCTGGTGGACAGCAAGCTCTCCATGAGCCAGCAATGGGCCCACGTGGCCAAGAAGGCCCCAATGGTGTTCTGGGGTGCATTCAGAAGAGTGTGGCCAGCAGGTCGAGGGAGGTTAACATCCCCCTCCCCTCTGCCATGGTGAGGCCACATCTGGAGTTCTGTGTCCAGTTCTGGGCTCCCCATTTCAAGAAAAACAGGGAACTACTGGAGAGAGTCCAGTGGTGGACACAAAGACGATGAGGGGGCTGGAGCATCTCTGGTATGAGGGCAGGCTGAGAGAGCTGGGTCTGTTTAGCCTGGAGAAGAGAAGACTGAGAGAGGATCTCATCAACGCTTATAAATATCTAAAGGGTGGATGTCTAGAGGAAGGGACCAGATTCTTTTCAGCAGTGCCCAGTGCCAGGACAAGGGGCAACGGGCACAAACTGGAACCCAAGAAGTTCCATCTGAACATGAGGAAAAGATTCTTCTCTCTGAGGGAGACTGAGCACTGGGACAGGCTGCCCAGAGAGGCTGTGCAGTCTCCTTCTCTGGAGATACTCAAACCCCACCTGGATGCAATCCTGTGCAACCTGCTCTGGGTGATCCTGCTCTAGCAGGGTGGTTGGCCTAGATGATCTCCTTCCAATCCCTACCATTCTAAAAAAAAAAACCAAAAAACAAAAAGAAAGTCCTGCTAACAGGTTTGTGTTAGAGATTAGCAGTTACTATGACTTTGGATATGGTAGAGAGAGAACAGAAAAACCAGTCCTGCCCATGGCCATCTCTATTCAGATCCATACTGTGTTGACAAAATATATATGAATAGAAAAATACAGATATGTGCAAGGAAGGAGTAGAGATAAAGTAAAATCAGAATAAAGAGAAACAGCATATTTTAAAGCCATAAATGCAAAAGGACAAAAGGCAAAAGAGAAACCAGTGCCCTCTTACAAAAAAGAGTTTTGACAAAAAAAGACTTGTTACTGGAATAGGCAAATTCACCATTTTGGTTATATGTCAGGAAAAATTAGTGAAAAATAGAAGTGTGGGCTTTTTCTCATTGTATTTGCAAACATTAGAAGTTAGTGTCACTAATAAAGTAGTAATCAGTACACACAGATGCTATTTTATCAGAGCCAGCCTATGAGGAGAAACAGAGGTCAGCAGAACTTTAAAAGGCAGATATGACTTACTCTGACTTTAATTTGCTTTCAAAAACATGCTCACTGACCCTTTAAATCACATGCCAATTACAAGCATTGTAGTGCCATTACTAATTACATGCTGAGAGTGTAAATTTAAAATGGCAATTTCAATTTTCAGTTGATTGGTAGAATGCAGGAAAATAAAATTGCATACTAATTAGTTCATGTGTGTCAGATACCTGAAAGATTAGAGAAAAAAACTCTGCACTCATTGCAAGTGAGTTATAAGCAAAGCAGTCAAACCTTTCATTTGTAAAGCTGCATATAAATAAAGAAATTAAATGACAAAGAAAATTGATAATGATGGAACAAGGCAAAAATAGTTACAGGCCTGTACATAATTATTCTTTGGGGGACTTTGCCACACAGCTTCCTTTAGAATTTCTCTAGCATTAGAAATGTTAAGAGGGTAATAGGCTACTGCTTCAGGTTCACTGTGCTAAATGTTATTTTACATTTCCTAAAATTGGAGTTTCTGGTTTCATAACTTTCTGCTTAATCTCTGCCAAAGATTCACACCATTTCTCAGGAGCCATCTTCTGGAAGAGCTGCTTTGTCACTCAGACAAACATGGAAAAGGTCCAATATGCAGACCCCTCACATTAGGATCTGGGAGGAAGCTGGTGAGACGATAAAGAAAGTAAAAACTCAGAGTGGGCTGTTGTTAGAAGGAGACTTTCTCCCACAAGACCAGAAGGAAGGTAGCCAGAAACTTAGCACGAATCAGAGTGGGCTGACTTTTTGTAACCTTCCACAAATTCTTATGAAGTATCTCCTTGGCCAATAAAGAAACTCTACAAAAATAAGGTATGGGATTTCTGCTTCTCCTCTTCTCTCAACAGAAACTTTTCGGCCATATAAGGGTCAGGTAGTGTCTGTCTCTCAGAGTGTATTTCATGCTTGAAGAACAAGACAGTGCTCTGATGTAAAGAACTGCTATGCAGTGCATAAAGTGTGAGTTTGTGGAGGTCTGTATCCTTGCCAAATCAAAACAGGGTTTCTGCAGAACACTAAAAAGTACTTTTTTTTCTCTATGAGTATCACCTCCCTGAAAAAAAATTCTATTTTCTGTTCCTAGTTGTTTTAAGGAGAAAAGTCTTCAGAAAAGGAAAAAAAAATCCTCTCAAGATTTAAACTTCTATTTTTAAATTACAAAGAGTACTTTTATTTTTGCTCTGAACCAGAAAGAAAAATAAAATACTCAGCAAGTTTTGTGAAAATAATAGACTAAAGTTTATGTTAAAAGAAAAATGAGAGAATAAGAAGGGAACGCTAGGTGCTTAGTATACATTAATCATATCACTTAATTAGCTTCTAGAAAGTCCTTAGTTACTATGTCTGTCAAAATTACAGAATAACCTGCCTGGGATCGGCACTACATAGATTAGGTCATTAACTCCAAAAAAATCCCCAAATTATTCAAACCTGATTCCATGGGCTGAGATTTATAGACACATTTTCTCCATTTGTCCAATCTTCCTTCCAGGTCAGAGCAAAGGGAAGATGTCCCTGGGAGCAAAGTCCAAGGCAGATGTAACGCTGGTCTGGGTAGAAACTTACACAGCTGCCTGACAGCTGCCTCCATGCTGGGTGGTGGCTTTGCCAGGTACAAACGTGGAAGCAACAGACCATTAGCCATCCCCATCCAGTTCATCTCCTAGTAAAGACATGACTAGGGGGCCAGTGCTAAAGGATTTTGAATTTTTTTCTCCACCTCATTTAATAAAGCCCACACTCTAAAGCAGCCCAAAAGCTACTGTAACACTGACTTTTTCATTAGCCATTAAAATTACATTAGCTTTCTACTCCTGTGAAAATAATTCTGCTCAAGTCCCTTAGTGTTATTCCTTCCAGTTCTTTTTCAATGTATAAATTTTACAGACTTCCTAAGCCCTCTGGTCTTTATGGAAGAAAACAGACTTAAGATATGTTGAAAGGCCTTTGTGTTTTCACTGTGCAGTGAATAACAAACAGTAACACCAGCTTCATTATTGAGAACTGATGAAATACAGCACTCTCACCACACCAGTTTCAGAAAACTTCATCAAACAGCACTTTGGGCCTGATCTCCAAACAAGAAAAAGAAACAGGCAATCTTGTATGCTTTTTCCCCACATATCTGGGAATTGCTCAGAAAAATCACGAATGGTAGTCAGCACAAAAACTTGAATGTGAGCAAAAATTATGCCATGTACACAAAGGTAACTTCAAGCAGAGTGTGTCTGGCACACTCAAGGGACATATGGACAGTACAACTTAGTGCTGGTAGACAAGGTGCTCAAGTACCATCTTTTGCTACTCCTGCAGTAGGTTCACTGGGAGGGAAGCATCTTCTTCAAATATTGACTACAGCCATCAGTGCAAAAGGTTTTTCCATGATTATCTAACATCAACTTTATTAACTAACAGCTGAAAAGGCCAAAGCTTAGCCCAATTCACATATCATGAAAAGAAAACACCATGAAAATAAAGAGCTACAGCAATCACTACATAATCATTATCTTCATTAAAATACAGCCACAGGACTTCATATTCAGTGCTCCATGACTTTTACTGAAGTCATTTACTGGGCGCAGAGAAATCAAGTCCACAACGAGAGCACTGCCATTTGAATCATTCTAGCGATACCATCCTTGAGTGGGAATGAAAAAATGTGTATTTCCAGCCTCATGGATGTGGTTGAACTAACAGCTATTTCAACCTTAATTAAAACAGTTCTTGTTACTTCCAGCACGATGCACACAATGCTTAACCTGTGTGCCTAGAGCAGCTCAGCAGAGGACAAACTATTCCTGCAGGCTCCGGTACAGCCAAAACCACATTAAAGCACTCTAGAATGATGCCCAAGGAAGGCTGCATGTGTCAAAGTATCTCTACCAAGAGATATTGCTGTGTAATGCTACTAAGGACCTAATGAGCAAATGTAACATATGTAGAAAGCAGCTTCCTTGAAAAGAGTCTTTATAAATTTGCTTCTATGGGTTAAAGCCACAATGGAACATATGCACACATTTTTTAAATAAAAAGATTTGTGCATTTGTACAGTCAAGATTATTGCTGTTTTGCAACTAAATAGTCCCTTTTAGTCTAGGCTACATTTCTGACAGTGAATAAGAATCTAGCTGTTAGTTTACCACTTGTCTTCATCAGTTTCTTAAGTGACTCTGGCAATTGAATCGAGGAGATTTTTTTCCTCCTCAGCTCCATCTGTTACCTGAATCCATGGCCATCTGTCATTTTCTGCAGCAGTCCAAGCATTCACAAACCCCTTCTTATTAAGTCGTGCATAGTAGGGGTACCATTTCTGGAGTCCAAAAAGAGCTCGATGAGTGGATGATGCAGTCATTTGTTGGTTTGTCACAATTCCTCCCTCTATCCCTAGTGGGGCAGAGCATTCTGCAAATGGAAACAAGAAAAGAAATTAATGCAACTGAAATGATAAACTCGTCTGAGTCCCAAGTGGCTGTAATTACAAATAGCATACAAACAGATCCAAAATGTCATGTCAAATACATTATTAAAAAAGATTTAAAGCACTTGAGTAGCATCTTCTTTTTGTAGAAATGAAAAAAAAAAGTGCAAAAATATTGCTTGTAAATAACTATTCCCATTGCAAATTTAATGAAATAGATTAAGCTTTAAATTTCTTTTAATTTGTTGTATCTGAAGAGTTGTCAGTTTGGGTTTTATGGACATAATGAAAGAAAATTATCCTTAGATTCAAATATTGAAATAATTGCTAAAAGCAAATTTAAAATTCTGTAATTACTTCAAAGTTCCACATTGCTGCTCTTGCCATAGAGTGTAGCATTTAGCCAATAAGCTAGAAATTGTTAATGCAGTTCTCTTTAGAAATATGAAACTAGACACATGATATTGTTTATTTACACTAAAAATATTTAAAGGTCTTATACATTTAATCACCAAGCCACAAAGTATGTATTTAACTGTAATGTTCACATGCTCATAATTTTATGTGTGGTATTCATCATCAATTTATTCACCTGAAATACTTGTAGCCGTAATCTTTTTTGAAGTCCAGATATTTCTGCATACATTGTTTTCTGAAGCCACTTCATTTGGTACAGGAACAAGAGCATTCAGTTATTGTGAGCAATCCAGACAAAATTTTGAAGTATGATTGGCAGTCTACCTACTATTAAATATGTCCAACCACTTTCAAATAAAGGACATTTATTTTCTCAAATCACTTCTGATGCAGACTGTAAAAAGAAGCTAATTGCAGGAACTATCGTAGCAGCTGATCTTGTTCAGTTGCCCAAAAGATCTTCTGCTTTGTGGGTCAACTGCACTTCAGCAATTTTGAACACAGCAGGCAGATGTTTACTTATACTTTAGGTTTTCTCAGAACCCTAAAGGTAAACTACTCTACTTTTGTAAGAAAATCGTGTATTTTCAAAAGTTCATTATATTTGCTTATCTTTGTCATTTCACAATGGAAAAGAAAGGGCACACAGGTGCGTCTATATGTATGCGTAACTCACAAACACACACGTGTACATACAGAACTGATCCAAGTTACCATGAAATTAATCACCCCTAACAGCTGGTATCTTAGGTTGATAATTATTTAAAAATAGAGATGTGAGAAAATAGAAGAGAGGTTTCCAAGAGGAGCTTAAAGAAGAGGCATGTCAGGTGTTTTAATATGGATGTGGAGCATACATCTGTATTCTTTATAAATATTCTCCTCTCATGGTGAGGAGCACAGGGATGAGGACACCTGCCAGACCTGCTAACGTTATTCAGTGACCTATTGGGGAAAATGTGTGCATGAGGACAGGGGCCCAGCATGTATCAGGGCCAGTTTTGAGTGGGGTCCAGAGTGAGGGTATTTGGCTTTAGCAGATAATTTTCAAAAGAAGAACATGTATTTGTTGCCAAGGCCCTTGATCTCCTATAGACATTGAAGCTTTGGCAGACTTGGAGAAGATGTGGATGTCTGGGGTTTTTTGCTGCACCTCTAAGGTGCAGAACTTTGTGGAAAGTTTTGATTTGAAGGCATGTTAGTTCTCATGCTTGAGATGCATTAAATGGTATTTGAAAGATGTGTGAATTTCTTACAAGAGAAAGTTGAATTTTCCTTTCTAAATTGAAGACAGTTAAATTACCAAGTACAGCACTTAAGTCTACTTTGTCAGATATAACCATATATGGTCAGAAGTGTTTACTTTCCTTAGCCTGAGGAGGATTATTCCTGAAATCCAAAGCAAATCTTTACCTTCAGGGAATAGGTACTTCATTGTACAAGCTTCTTATTTTAATTGCAGTTCCAGTCTTGGTTTGTCATGTTTGTCAGTTTTTCAATGTGAGTTAAACACAGAATTACCACTAGTAAAAATTGTAACTACCACATTAGAGATACTTTCTACTTTGATGTTCAGTTCAACCATAACAACATGAAAAGCATAGGAAATATGAGACTGGACAACAATTTCTAAACAGTATTAGCCTTACAATGTAATATATATGTACACACCACTAAGATCTGTCTTTAGAGGACCATTTTTTTCATCATCCTGAAGGACATCAGATCATTCTCATGAGGTGGGAAGCTTGGATTAAACTAAATCATAATCATGCTCAAGACCTTCTTGCAGGTCCAAACCACAGAACTTGCAATGCAATCATACTCTGACCATAGCAGTGCTGATGAATTGAGCAATTTCCTAGGCACAGGTCTGGCAGATGGGTCCTGAGGAAGCCCACTCAAGGTTATCTCTTCCCGAGACATAAGATACCTCCACATGCATCATGATGGGGTTTTTTTGAGTAGTCTTACCTTGAACTTGACCACACTGAATTCAAACCTTCTGTTTCATAGCCAGGTCAATCTGTATTTCAAGATATTTTTAAAACTCTTCAGTCCTTTTTAATAATGCTAGAACATTTATTAAATTACCAGAACATATTGCTATCTCATTTATTTATTGAACAGTCAGGACTTCAGCAGACATTTTGCTAGGACTCTGAGTAAGCTCCTCCCACGGTTAAAACTGCCCATTTACATACCCTTTTGTTCTTTATTTTTAATAAGACAGTATTCCACAGGAAAACTTTTCAATTTACTTTCATCAGTTGAAAGAAAATAGTTGAACTCATTTTTAGATAGTCAAATACCTCACAGCAAACAGATTTTCCTTAGTCATATGCTTATTAATTTCTTCCAAATACTCCAATAGATTTGTGAGTCATGCTTTCTCCTTACAAAAGCTCCAATGGGGCTATTACTCTCTAAATTCCCAAGAAATTGACTTTGCTTGAAAAACTCTCAGCTGAATAGCCTTCCTCTGGTTCCATCAAGCATGTTATGACAGTAAAGGACTGGTTACAGACTAGTTTCTGCACAAGATATTGAATTTGAGACACAAACAATACTTTCCTTCAAGTTGAGATATCAATTATTTCTTTTAGTGCTTAAGGGCTGTGATATGCCATTGACTACTAACAGTGAAAGAAACAAGCAAATGCAGCTTTTGGAGCTTTTAAATAAAAATGAGATACATATTTTGCAGAACAAGTACAAGCTGTATTATATTTTGTTGTTATACATCTGCTTCTGTTAAATCCACAGTTCATTTAACAAAAATCATGACAGCTTGGGAAACTGCAGTCTCCAAGGGAGTAATAATATCACTACAGTGACTCTGTACAATTCAGTCTGGTCAACGTCAGTCATTAAATAGAAAACCATTTTTATTAGTTTATGCTAACACACCAGCTTATGACAATCAGCTTCATGCAAGAAGGTAAAAAAACCCCAAAAAACCAACAATTAAAAAGCTGCTTGACAGGTTCATGATACAGATTCACAAGGAGGATCTTGTCATCTGGAGCTGATATTTTGGTGTCATTAAATAACAAAATACTAACTTGAGCAATATTGTTTTTAATCCTACAGTCACTGTTGGTATGCACTAAATAAAACCCTATTGATGCTTCTCCTCATCAAACACAAACCAATACCCACAATGCCCCATTGTCCATGAAGATGACAGAATGCAAAGGTGTACCGATAAGCAACATGACTGTGAATGGATCCAGTGAAGGACAGGAAAAGTCAACAGCACAGGAAAAGTGAAGGATTCATTTATGTCTTTTCAGTTCTCCTAGGAATCCCCACCAACTCACGTGAAGATGGCATGGTTGTAAAACTGCATTGAGGGCTTCTTTTACAATCTCAAACTTCACTAGATGTGAACATAACGTACCATTTTGCACCACAAAGCAAATGATCATTAGTCCAGATTTCACTTATAGACCAAGGGTATGGGCATCAAATAGCTCCTCAGACAAAAAAATGAGACTTTTATCTGTTTCCACCCTTATCTCTTGCAACAATAAATCCCTCCAGCTGAACAAATATATTTCGCAAAAGGAAATAGAAGATGACGACAGTTAGCTTACTGTGTTTTACATTGATAATTCTTCAGAGGTAAGTTAGAACAGGGAAATATGTCACCAATTCCCCCTCTTAAGAGGGGAAGGACAAACCATTTTAAGCTAAAGAATTACTACCGTAGGAGAAAATAAGCAGAAAACACTGGGTAAACATGTTACTTAAGTATATTTAATTTGGACTTCTACATTTATGTCAGTCCACAAATTAAGCAAAACCTCCAAATGGTTTAAAAATTGCTTGAAAATGTGAGGATTATGCCTCTGCAAACAGAAGAAAAAGATTTGTTATTGACAATGAAACGTGACTGATTTTGCAGCATGAATATATAGCTTTCAATTTCTCTGTTGGTTTCTCTCTAGCTAACGTCATCAAAACAAACAGATGCAAAATTGAAGGAATGCAGAAAACAAATCTGCTTTAGACATCTGCAATCCTGTCTTTCTCCAAGCACCTCATTTTCTGGAATGAGATTACTCTGGCTGTGCTTAGCATAGCACAGTAATTGTGCTGAACACAAACCCTGACAATGGGATTACAGATGACCTCTGATATTGCAGTAATTAATGCTGATACATGCATAAACTCCCCACCATGCAATCTAGGCTTCAGCCTCTTATTTCTTCTTCTTGTTCCTCCTGCCACCCACACGTCTTTGCCCAGTTTGTTCTGTCAAGGATAGCTCTCTTCAGATAACAATTAATTTGTTTTTATAGGAGCTGTTCAGATGGATATGGACAATCATTTAGCAGTCTGCTAATAAAGTGCCCACCCATATGCAATGTATGAAGTGATGTTCTTGTAGGCTTGTTTTTTTCACAGTCATGGCAGGTTAATGATAAAATCCTTTCTTCTTTATAAATACTACGTAAAGTGCTTTTGCAGAAAGGTGGCTAGGAGACACAGCTTCCCTTCCTACTAGATATGTTTCCTTCATACAGAAACTTCAGTTCTTTGACCATAGTAATTTTCCCAC